CCTTTACAGCCTCCCTCCAAACTATATATATATTTTTTCTCTGCATAGAATATCACCTTCCTGCTGTTGCTCCCTCTTTCTTTGATTGCAGTGAGGAGCACAGCGAAGGCAGGGGGAAGGTTGCTGAGAGACAACCTGAGCCCCGGGGCCCCCAGACTGGGGTGGCTTAACTTACCCAAAGAGAAGAGTAGCGCAGCCAGGATAGGACTGGGGTTGGAAGAGGGAGCCCCAGGAGCCATAGCTGGGGCAGGGCTAGGGCCCGGAGCGTCTGCGGGGTTGGGAGAGTGGGGGACAAGGAACTGAGCGGGGGTTCCTGGAACCCGCTTAAAATCCCCCAGGGTCCCGGTATGAGGGGGCTGTCCTGAGCCAGTAGCCAATTGCAGCCTGGCATGTGCAGTTGAGAGGTGGTGAGGAGGGGGGCAGAGCGCAGGGAGCAGAAGGGGCATTGTGTCCTCTGGGTAGAGGGGTGGGGGGGGACACATACCACCCCATACACTGAGGGCTTTGTGTCTGCTGGCCTCCCCCTGCCCCAGGCTGGAATGTCGGCGGCGGGGGGGGGGGGGGGGGAGACAGAAAAAGGGACACAAACACATTTCTCTGAGGGACAGATGGGCGGAGGAACCTGAATCCTAACGCTATGAAAAGGGATTCTTCCCGAGCCTCCATGCCTGAGAGTGGCTCCCCTAGAGCTCTAAGAGTTAGAGGTGGGCTTCCCCCAGAGAACTTTCAAAACAGGATATCCCTGTTATCTTCACTACTATGGGCTACATTACAGGCTTCTTCAGATGACTAAGTCCTTTGGGTGACTTTTTTTTTTTTCCTATCTCTCTGCATCTTGGGTGATTCTTTCCAGATAAAAAACTTTTTTTCCGTGGGAAAATACCCAGTGAAGAATCCCTTGATCTTTCCCTTTTTTTCAGGAAGTCCTTCACTGCCTCATGCTGCAGTTTAAGTCCATTTCAGTTAAAAGCAAGGCAACAAAATTATATTGAGTGCCAGCCAGCTACATATATGAGTATGTGAATATGTGGGTATGTGAGTAATAGAAAGAGGAATAAAAATTAAGATCCTCCTTCAAGGAGTTCAAAATTTAGTTTGGGGAGGCAGAGGGGAGAATCAGAGGACAAACCCGTTAACAATGAAATATAATAAACCATGATGCAGCAGACTGATGAACAAAGTGCTGAGAGTATAAGTGAGGGCACATAGAGGTACATTAGGAAAATTAAGTTATGTAACAGAGATTAAACACAAAAATATCAATAACTTTCATTTAATAAATGACGTTCAGGGCTTCCCTGGTGGCGCAGTGGTTCAGAGTCTGCCTGCCGATGCAGGGGACACGGGTTCGTGCCCCGGTCCGGGAAGATCCCACATGCTGCGGAGTGGCTGGGTCCGTGAGCCATGGCCACTGAGCCTGCGCGTCCGGAACCTGTGCTCCGCAACGGGAGAGGCCACAACAGTGAGACGCCCGCGTACCGCAAAAAAATAAATAAATAAATAAATGACGTTCAGAGGAAGGGGGAGTCATGTCTAGAAGGCAATATTAGATGTGGACCAACCTTTAAGGTTGCATGCCATTTTGGAAAGGAGAAATTGGCAGTGAGGGTATCTAGGCAGATAGAAGAACAAAAGCAAAGACAAAGAGATAAGAAAGTGTGTGTGTGTGTGTGTGTGTGTGTGTGTGTGTGTGTGTGTGTGTGTGTGGGGGGTACGTTTGTGAAGTTTGGGGAATATTCAGGGCAGATCTGGTGTCCTCCATTTTTATTCGATTTGGGGGATCTTGAACAGTCATCAGAGGAAAGGAGTCTGTACAGGAAAGTTGAAGCCAGTTTGTGGATGGTCTTAAATGACAGAGCAAAGGGGGTGGATTTAATTTGGTACATCATAAGAATTTTGATGATGGTTTTGGGATGGTATTTGGGGTTAGGAATGGGAGTGTCTACATGGTCAGAGCTGAGTTTTAAGACAAATAGGTTACATGAAACATTTGAAGAACTAAGTGAAAGAGGCATTCACTGGATTTGTTAATGTGAAGCTTCCGAGGGCCAAAGCAAGATCAATGACTGGAAGATCAATCACAGAAAACTGTATTTTAATGTAACAACTTCCTAATGACTAAATTGTTTACTAAACGAAACTTGTTTTTTGAGGTACCCATTATCGAATGTGTTAGAACACACTCTTGAAAATCAGCTGTCAACAGTGCTACAGAGGAGATTCCTACACTGGAGAGAAAATCGGGCTGGAGAGCCAGTCCAGAAGTTTATTAAAGTGCTTTCTTTGCCAGCATTATAGAAATGCAAAATAGTATATTCATTTGATGTAGAAATAAATGAATCTGTGCTATTTAAGTCCTGAAAGGAAAAGTACATAAGCGCTAAATATAAATAAGATCTGAATATTAATGTAACGAATATGTTTTTATTGCTGAACAGGAGTTGCTCTGGCTTGCTGCTTCACTTCTCCTCACCCTTCCTCCTCCAAAGAGGCTCAAGAACTTTTGCGCTTTTCCACTTGCTTATTTTGTCCCTTATAAGTGCTCTGGAAGTGATTGCTGTGCTTGGGTCCCTCAAAACTGTTTTTATGCATATAAATCAAAGCGAGCCCTCCCCCCACCCCTACCCCAGGTTCTTCTGGCAGTGGGTGTCACCCACATAGCCCTGAAACAAGGAACAAGGGAGCGTTGTCTTTGGTTAGTGGGCATCTAGCTCATGCAGCAGCTCAAGCCCAGGAATTGTGAGACATAAAGCTAATCGAGGTGGTTAGAGGACGCTCCCCATCCTCAGAAATGGTGCTCTGAGAGGTTCTCTCCCCTACGGATCTCAACTTGCGCACTATCTCTGTATTGGTGAAGATGGTTCACATAAGAATGGGAAGGAGCCCAAAGTATCTTTACAAAAAAATTTTTTTTAATTGAAGTATAGTTGATTTATGAAGTTGTGTTAATTTCTGGTATACAGCAAAGTGATTCAGTCATATATATATTCTTTTTCATATTCTTTTCCATTATGGTTTATTACAGGATATTGAATATAGTTCCCCGTGCCATACAGTAGGACCTTGTTGGTTACCTATTTTATACATAGTAGTTTGTATCTGCTAATCCCAAACTCCTAATTTATCCCTCCTCCTTTCCCCTTTGGTAACTATGTTTGTTTGTTTTCTATGTCTGTTTCTGTTCTGTAAATAAATTCAGTTGTACCATATTTTAGAGTCCACATATATGTGATATCATGTTGTCTTTTTCTTTCTGACTTACTTTATTATGACAATCTTTTGGTTCATCCATGTTGCTGCAAGCCGAAAGTACCTATTTCCCTGCATGTCTCAGTCACCCTATAATACTTTTTAGTCCCACCTGGGAGGGGGAAGGCGTGAAACTAGACTGAGAAGTGCTCAGTGAAGAATCTGGGCAAGCCCTCTGCTTGGTGGTGCTAAACAAAATGAGTGTGTTTTTAGAGGTGCTACCTGTGAAGCACCTCTAAAAACAAAAAGGTAAAACGTAGACTGCAGAATTTGAGCAAGCGGCAGTTCTGCGGAAAACTTGTCACTTTTTAGAAGTCAGCTGAGAGAGGTGGGGTCAGAGACTAACTGCGCACGGAAGATCAGTGAAGAGTCGGAACTAGGGCTGAGCCGGAGAGCCTCCCAATCCTCTGAAAGAGCCGGTGTCGTCCCGTGACAGAAGCCCCGCCCCTCCCCTCGCCCAGAGGTGGTGGGGCCGTTGGCGTCACTTCCGTCCAGGCCGGAACCCAAGATGGCGGCGCTCTTGTTGAGGTGACTTTAGTGTGGGGTGGGAGTCGGTGCCGGCGGCTCTCGGGAGAGCTGCACTGGCCCCTCACGTCTTGCTAACAGCTGTTTACCCCGTGCCTCGGCAGGGAAAGGACCTGTGGGTGGAGGCCACGCGCTTTGGAAACCTAGAGACCCTTTCCCTCCCCTAGCGTCTCCTGTGCATCCTGTAGGGCTTCGGGGGTCCCTGGCCGATTATCTTTTCCTTACTCCTTGGCGGATGGGTCGCTGGGGCTCTCGCCTCTTCTGCTTTCCCACTTTTTTTTTCTTTTTCCGGTACGTGGGCCTCTCACTGTTTTGGCCTCTCCCGTTGCGGAGCACAGGCTCCGGACGCGCAGGCTCGGCGGCCATGGCTCACGGGCCCAGCCGCTCCCGCGGCATGTGGGATCTTCCCGGACCGGGACACGAACTTGTGTTCCCTGCATCGGCAGGTGGACTCTCAACCACTGCGCCACCAGGGAAGTCCAGCTTTCCTACTTTTAAAATAGTTTTTCCCCCACTTCTAAAATAGTTATTTCCCAGATTGCTCTCGGGGCTGCAGCGAGAGCCGAGCTCCAAGAAAATAAGTAGGTCTGACTTCTCTTATTTAGGGCTTGGGCCTCGAGGAGAAGGATCTTCGTGTACTTTACCTTTGCGTTTTACTCCTGCAAACACCAGCTGCTGGCAATGAGTGGGCACTGTCCCAGTTCCTAACGGGCCCCTGGCAGAGAGGGCGGGAGGCCTAGACCCTTGTCGGGGTGACGATTAGCAATAGCGACCATAGTGGTTGCTCTGCTGCCCCAGAGCAGCCAGGAACTTCAATTTGTTTATTTTTTTTACTTGGTGGTTGAGGGGAATAGATGCCCCAGTTTTTCTCTGTAGTGTCAACTCCTTGTCCAGAGAAATACTCTAGATTGTCTTCCATTATGAACTGACCATTGTCGACAAGGCCTCGTTCTCTGCTCAGAGCCTTTCTAGCCATAGCGATTTTAGATGCTCTTGGTACAAATCCCAGCATAGTTTCGTGCCAGCACTATTTTTGGAAACTATTTGTTATGGAAAGTTAGTTTTAATGCAGTTGAGATTTAATTCCTGATTCCCCCAAATGTCTTCTCGTTTCTTTTTGCACTTCAATCACCCAGTGTAAAAATACACGGACTTTATTTAGTTTTTCTCTGTGACAGAATGATTCCTCTTGGAGCTGAGATCAGGAATGGTTTATCTTAATCCTTCGTTTTTCTCCCTGACTCTTATTTACAATTGTGTCTTTTTTTCTAAAGTGTGTCAGGGCTAGTCTTGCCAGATTGCCTCCTTTATTACAAGTAGTTTGACCATAATTGAATGCTTTTGAATTCTTTGATATATCATATTTCAGAAGATGTCACAGGCTTTTTTGGTGGAATTAACGTTTAGCTTGTAATGATCATATTGGGTCTAAACAGTTCATTTTAGAGTTTCATGATTAGCGCTTAGAAACCAAGGATCACTGTACATATTGAGTATGTCCAGTCTGTATCATTTTGAGCT